TGATAAATGAGAAAGTTATTGTTCCGACTGATTGAATATGAAATTATGATACTGTTTATGTTATTAACTTTGTAGGTCGGTTTTGAAAATCTCGTTACGGTAAGCATGCGACAAATGATTTTATTTATGATAAATGAATTTTAGTTAAATTAAGTGCTCTATTAGTGTTTTAATTTTATACAAATCTTTATTTATGTGTCGGTGATATAGTGTGATATCCTTACTGGGTTAGCATAACTCATCCCTTATTTAACCATTTCAGATCAAGAGTACCAAGTTCCAGAACCCGATCTGCAGGAAGATTACGAGTAGATGGTAAATTTTTTTTTTTCTGTTTATTTCCTTATTCTTATGCTTCTTTCAAAAGAGCGAACTCTTTAACGCTGTTTGGTATTTTGAGTTATTTGTGTAAGAAATGTAAATTCTGAACATTTATTACGTTTCCGTACTTTAATTGTCTTTTATTTTCTTTTGATATTTTCGGAGTCGTTACATATTCAATGACAATAGGATTATCCCTACAAAAGCAGGTTATTTTGTTCATTTAAGTAGTGGGCAAATCATTCTGTGTTATTTATTCAAATTAAATAAGAATAACAGAATTTTCAGTAATTCTCAAGTATTGTTTTTCCTTGTACCTTCATGTAGAACCTAAGAAATAAATCTCTAGAAGTCTCTCCAAACATGATAAGAGTTCTTAACCTGGAACTTTAGTACCATGTAGGGGAGATAATTTTGTAAATAGATATGGCTAAAATGCAAATAATCCATGCTTGAATGAAAGAACTCTGGTGTTGCATGGATTGTCATTAGGCTTTCTCGGTGCAGGTTAGGTGGAAGGCGGAGAAGATCTCATTTCAGAGTAGTTATTCCAAAGAATATTGAATTATTTCACACCAGAATGATTTAACTCCTTCACATAGTGAAGAAACTTTAATCCCCATATGATTCTCATGGCAGGAGTGTCTCTACCGCAATAGGTTCTTAACTCTTTTTGAGTCAGAAGTCTAGCAATCTTTATCTGATATGAGATCTTTTTCTTAACCAAGTTATTGACTAGCCCCATGTTTTTTTAAGCAAAAGATTCGGACAGCTCAACCACTGCTGAAATCATGATATATTATGTTAATTTAAAATGAGACCGCTGTATCAGTTTCAAATAAAACAGTAGTAGGGAAATACAGAATGGTACCAACATAGAAGGTTCATTGATTATTGTAAGATCAACTAAAATTATTGAGGTGGCATTTTGTTCTTTGGTCGTACGTTCCTTTCAAAGATTGTGGATTGGCTTTCACATAATTTAGAAATAATAAAGCATAGACCTTTTCAATGCCTTGTCTTATTTTTCTTTCTGCCTTTCTGTCAAGATTATTATACATACTTGCCGTCTCCTGTTGGGTAGCTGCACTGAAGAAACCAAGAACAAGAAAACCAAACACGCAGAAGTGGAAGCAGGATAAGGAAGAATTGAAGCTATGTGCGGCTGCTGCGGAGACGATTGTGATGCCGGCCTTTAGGCTTTCTGTTAGGCCTGCCCTTCGCCTTCCTCTCCCTCCTCATCTCCCTCATCGGAGTAGTCGTCTGGATTGTAGGGTCAGTGACTTACACCCCTCTTTCCTTCTTATCTATTGCTATTAATTTCTCGAGGTTGATGGTTGGGAAAATTTTACTGATTTGGGTTATTTGCAAAATTAAAATTATCACTACTCTAAAACTTGAATTCCTCAAACAATTGAGATGCAATTCCTATCTTGGGAGAAATTAAATTTGCACAATCAAATTTTTTTTTTTTTTTTTTGTAAGAATAAAGGTTAACTTTGACTCCAACTATACTTGTACGGTGATGCAGGCTGGTGGTTGACTTGGATATGTCCATGTTGCTTGTGTGTGACAATCCTAGTTGAGTTTGCACTTGGGTTGATCAAGGCTCCAATTCTGATCATGAAGTGGTTCACCTCTAAAATCCCTTGTTAGAATTCAAATCATATTTGATTCAATACCTACCCATCTGCTAATTATTCATCTTCCCATTATATAATCATGTGTTTTGTTTTTTTAATTCTTTGACCAATGGTACATGGTTGTTGATTGGAGTTTAGGTCACATAACATGTTCTGTTTGTTCTTTATGGACCTATTTTTAATTTCAATTATTTACTTATTCAATGTTCTTCTTTTCCTTTCATGGAGTATTTTGTCTCGGTAAAATTTATTTTTTTTCAAAGAAAAAAATGAAAAAAAACTTTGTACTTTAAGTTCAAAACCAGTTAATACTGTGACAAGTTTATTTAATTTGATCATCAATTTTTTTTATTTTTTTTAAAATCAAAACTAAGTATTTTGTACATTAGGTCTCAGAAAATTACTTATTTTTCTAGCCCTTTTTCTATCATTACAGATCTACCTTGTGTCTCCAGCTTCTTATTTCCACTCAGTGTAGAAAGAAAAAAATTTGAACTTCCTTCTTGTTACTCGGTTATTTTCAATCACTAAAATTGATACAAGATGAAATCGCAAATAAATTTACTTAATCTCGTTTAAATTTACTTAAAATTTAGTAAGGTTTCACTCGAATCCATATGTTAAAAACAAAAATTCTTAAAATTCACCGAAAAAATCTAACTCTTAGTGTGAGAAAATATGGTAAATATATTCAATCCATGTGCAACAAAATTCAAAAAACTTACATATCTCATATGTATGCATAAACATATCATGGGACAATATTTAAACATTAATAAATACAAAACCCTAAACATATTAGATTTGTATGATTTAAGCATCTAACTTCATGGAATGTGATCTCCTCAATCATATTAAAAGGCTTATATAGATTAATAGGTAGTTCGAATGGAAAAGGCAAAAACCAAAAATCCCAAAAAGACAAACGTTGGCCTTAATTAGGGTTTCTTATAGTTTTCTTGCCCCTTTTTTCTTAGGTCTTCTTTTGTGCTTTCTATAAAAGTAAATTTATCTTAAATAGACTAATATCATAGTCTCTTTAATTTGTCTTACACGATCTAAAAAAAAATTTAACTGAATTTTTAAATAATATTTTTTTCTTAAGTAATTTTTACTTTATGAATTAAAAATACTATTAAAAGTTTATTGAGCGGTATTTTATAAGAAAAGTAAGAGAATATTGGATTATAATAAGTGAAAAAAATTTACACATATAACCCACATGGTTGATTGGCTTTGGAAAGAAGAATCGTGATTAGAACCATGCGATAAAGACCCTTCTTCCTATTTACTTTCTCTCTCAATGTATTTTATGTATTTAAGTATATGTTAATTTTATTTTTTAATTCAGATTAAATGATTAATTAACTTATCATATAAACTTGGCAATAAGATCACTTAACTATCATTTAATTAAAATTAAACAAAATTTGTTAAAGTTGATGGACAAATTAGTTTAATTTATTATAGATTTTGCGACAACCAAAATCAAAGATGATTTTTACAACAATCGTTAATCATTAGTAATTCTCCAGTGCGAATTTCATTACAAAATCTCGCGTCAAATTCATGTACAAATTTGTTATGCAATTCGTAATTGACAGATCATGTTGTTAAATTTGTGATGCAAATTCATGATCCCTAGGTTTGCTTGATAGAAATTAATTAGGTTGAAGTGTATGTGACATTTGGTTACTAGATCGCATAACACACATGATATATCATGTTGCAAAGTATAGGGATCATTTCCTTACTCTCTTTCTCTCCAAGTTTGTTGGAGTATTTTCAGAGAGAGATATATTATAAGAGATATTAATGTCGACTTTTTCTGAGTAATTTTCACGTGAAACTTTGTAAACATGGTGCCTACTCACATTTATAAGTTTTATATTATGATCGACAATTACATTTTTACGGTACGTGAATAACTATAAGTTCTAATACAAAAATATGATATAATAAATCACTATGATGAACTCAAATTTAAAAATTAATTTATACTACTATTATTATAAAAAAAATTTAGTTGATAAAAATATAATCTTTTATAAAAAAAGTTTATTATGATCATTAATTCAACTAATAATAATTACTATTGATAAATTTAATATATTTCAATCTAAATTAAATCATATCAACGCTTTAAAATTTAAAAAATTAAATCGATTGTGTATAAAATTATTTCTTAATAGATTTTTATATATAGTGAGCATATAGGTCTAACCAAAAGATAAAATTTAAAATAAAATAAAAAATAATTTTTATAATTTAAAAGTGAATAATAAATTAAAAAATTAAGAACTAAACACGTAATACATAAATATATATATGTAAATAATTTGTTCCTCGATTATGAAAATATATATATAAGTCAATTTGTCAACATCAGTTTATGGGCATGATTTCCCAAAAATTCCAGGCAGCAAGCTCAGCTTATTGGCGCGAAAACATGGAAGGAAAATATTATTCATTATGAAATTTCAGCGGTTTGACGCAAATCCGTAAATGTGGAATCAGAAGCTTCTCTAAAATTTCTTTAACCGACTAAAAACAAAACCAACCGATAATCGCCCATGTATCTTTTTCTTTCTTCTTTTTCCCCTCAATCAAGTTCAACATTGAAAAAATCAAATGTAAAAAGTATTTTTTTATATATATATATATATATATTGAAGAATTAAATATGATATTTAGAATTTTGACCGAAAGATTGAAAATTTAAACATGAATAATTAAGGAAATCTTATCTTTTTATATTTTCTGTATAATATCTAAACCCTTTGAAGTGGGTTTTGGCGATCACCTGAAATTGACGTAGAAATGGATAATTGAGAAATTCGAGAAATTCGAGAATGAATGCTTACAAAAACGTGCATGTTTACACAGAGAACATAAATGGAGAGACGAGAATATATATATATATATATATATATATATATATAAGAAATATTCAAAACAAAACAAAACCAATCTCTGGTTTCTGAATATTCCTACACTGCACTAAAACCAGCAACAAAACCACTCATCTCCCCCCCCCCCCCCCCCCTCATAGCAACTATTAATAATACTTGTTTATTTCTCTATTTGGAAGCTTTACACTTCACCTTCCATCTTTCTCCCTTTTCCATATTTAATTTAAACCCTACAAACCAGCCCATTGTTAAGCCAAAACATTCTTCTCCATCTCCTTCTTCCTATATTAACCCCCATCGTTGATTCCCACCACACCCATATCACATTAAGCACATTTTTTCAGTCCGTATTAATGGAAGCAGGTAATAGGATCGGCTCAACCGCTCACCCAAGCTCCGCGCCGGCACCGGTACCGGGCCGCTCCTGCAGTGGCACACTTGGGCGCCACCTGGCTCGACGGCTGGTGGAGGTTGGGGTAAACGATGTCTTCTCTGTGCCGGGTGATTTCAATTTAACGCTTTTGGACCACCTGATCGCCGAGCCACAGCTGAATCTGATCGGCTGCTGTAACGAGCTGAACGCCGGATACGCCGCCGATGGGTATGCGCGTGCCAGGGGAGTTGGAGCCTGTGTAGTGACTTTCACTGTTGGCGGGCTCAGTGTGCTGAACGCCATTGCTGGGGCTTACAGCGAGAATTTGCCTGTGATTTGTATCGTCGGTGGCCCGAATTCAAACGATTATGGGACTAATCGGATCTTGCATCACACCATTGGTTTGCCTGATTTTACTCAAGAACTCAGGTGCTTCCAAACTGTTACTTGTGCCCAGGTGAGTTTAACCATTTTCAATCCTGTCTACATGTTTTTTCTATTGGGTATTTGTTTTTCTTAGTTTTCTTGGTTACCCTTACCCTATTGCTTGATTGATTTATATATAAGCATAACATGTGTATTTATGCTGTTTGATTATATGCATATATAAAAGGTGGAGGCTGTAGTTGACTAGGAATGCTGTTGTGTTTAATGTGGTTTGGTGATGCAGGCAGTGGTGAATAACTTGGATGATGCTCATGAGCTCATAGATACTGCAATTTCTACTGCTTTGAAGGAAAGCAAGCCAGTCTATATAAGTATAAGCTGTAATTTGCCTGGAATTCCCCATCCAACTTTCATTAGGGATCCAGTCCCCTTCTTTCTTGCACCCAAGTATGGTTTCCCATCTCACTATTTGCTTTTTTTTTTTTTATTGCCTTTTTATTTTGGGTTCCTTATTTTGTAAGCCTTTCATGATTTTAGATACTATTTGGTTGGCTAAATATGAAAGATGGAGCTGAATTATAGGTTTGGTATAAAATCCAGGGGAATTAAGAGAGTTTAATGATATAAATGTTTGGCTCGTCAAATTTCTTATCCCTTTTAATGTTTAGTTTCTTTAACATCCACAACCAGAAGTTGTTTTACTAGACTTTCCTAAATTTATATGCAGGGTAAGCAATCAATTAGGACTGGAAGCAGCTGTAGAAGCAGCTGCTGAGTTTTTGAACAAAGCTGTGAAGCCAGTTCTTGTGGGTGGACCAAAGTTGAGGGTAGCAAAAGCACAAGAAGCTTTCGTTGGGCTCGCTGATGTCTGTGGATATCCAGTAGCTGTCATGCCATCAGGGAAGGGATTGGTCCCAGAGCATCATCACCAGTTCATTGGGACCTATTGGGGTGCTGTTAGCACCAGCTTTTGTGGGGAGATTGTGGAATCTGCTGATGCATATCTCTTTGCTGGCTCCATCTTCAATGATTATAGTTCTGTTGGGTATTCTTTGCTGATCAAGAAGGAGAAATCAATCATAGTGCAACCGAATCGTGTGACTATAGGAAATGGTCCTTCGTTTGGCTGGGTATTCATGGCGGATTTCTTAAGTGCATTAGCCAAGAAGCTAAAGAAAAACACCACAGCTCTTGAGAACTACCGTAGGATCTTTGTGCCCCCTGGAATCCCTCTGGAGTTTAACAAAGATGAGCCTCTTAGAGTAAATGTTCTCTTCAAGCACATTCAGGTAGTCACCTAAAGCACAGTTTTTGAAACTTCCATTTTCATACAGTTAGTCCATTGTCGTTGAATTTTACTGAAGACACCCTATCCAAATAATAAAGCAATTGAACTAACAGATATTTTGATTGGCTTGACTTTCAGATTTTAGCCTGCTTGATTGCCTTCCACATTATTCTTTCACCTATTTGTTCATCTTTCTTTGTTGTTCATTTTAAGTTTGGGTAAAAAGCTTCCATGTCTAAGTAACATTGAAGGCATAAGAAGGGTCCTTAAGTTTTAAGTTCTTAAGGTCCAAAAAACTTAAGCCACCTAAACAGCATGGAAGTTCAGTGCATAAGATGGATAATACATGGATATATAGCAACATCAGTTGTTATTTTTCTTAATTTTAAAATGCCCCGCTGTTCGTGTGCTTTCATCTATTGGATTCCTTCATATTCTTGTCTCTCAATTTCATTTGTTGAACTTAATGAACAGGAGATGCTAAGTACTGAAACTGCAGTAATTGCTGAAACTGGGGACTCCTGGTTCAACTGCCAGAAACTCCGCCTTCCTGAGAACTGTGGGTAAGAAAAAAGAAATTTTATATGAATATTCTAATACAGCTTCTACTTCAGCTTCTACTTGTTTCTTTATTAGCAGTCTCCAAACCATCTATCATCAATTGATGTTAGGTATGAATTCCAAATGCAATACGGATCTATTGGTTGGTCAGTCGGTGCAACTCTTGGATATGCTCAGGGTGCCAAAGACAAGCGTGTTATTGCTTGCATTGGTGATGGAAGTTTCCAGGTTTGTGAATTTATCCATTCTTACAGTTAGTAGCTTGTGACTCATTTTTGTTAAGTACCCAGAAAATGCACCATGACATCAGAGGAAATTCAATTGCCAGTCAAAAACAAATACAGTTGGCTACCTGTCAAAGTTTCAAAAACACATATAGCTTTCTCTATAGCAGTTGTTTTCCTTTTTCCTTGTAAGAAATTGGTTAGATATTGAGATAAGGAGTTCGTGTTAAGAAGCTGGAGTCTTTGTAAATATATTTATTAATAGATTTTCATACTGCTATCTAACCATATTACACTTCTCAGGTAACAGCTCAGGATGTTTCAACAATGATCCGCTGTATGCAAAAAAGTATTATATTCCTCATCAACAATGGAGGTTATACAATTGAAGTAGAGATTCATGATGGCCCCTACAATGTGATTAAAAACTGGGACTATACCAGCTTCGTTAATGCCATCCACAATGGTGAAGGCAAATGCTGGACTGCAAAGGTGAGAACAAGTAGGAATATAATCTAATTTCCAACTTACAGGCGAATCTCGCTCATAATTGGTCAACTTCTCTTCCTAAAGATCCTTTGTCATATATGTTTTGCGCATTTCATTAAATAAGAGTGTGTTCTGATCTCTGAGTTGGTAATGGAGTAGAATGAATGATTTAGCTGCAAAATACAGGTACGTACACAGGATGAACTGGAAAAAGCAATAGCAACTGCAACAGGATCAGAAAAGGATTCCTTATGTTTCATTGAAGTTATTGTGCACAAGGATGATACGAGCAAAGAGCTGCTGGAATGGGGGTCGCGAGTCTCATCTGCCAACAGTCGTCCTCCAAATCCTCAATAGTATTGTTCAGCTTTTCTGTATGCTTTAAATCAAGGGACAGTTAATCAAGGTTTTAAACAAGAAGGAAGAGGAAAAAACAAAGAGAGAGAAACAGAAAAACAATGCAGGCCTCCTAATTCTGTATGTTATGATGTACTTGTGTCTTCACTTTTTTATCTGTTGTACATAGATGATGAATAAGCTGCTATTTGAGAAGAGATGTAGCGAGTTGTGAATTAGCATTTTTCCTGTCAATAAAGAGGGCATTTGAACAGTGACTGACATGAGCTGAGGATGACTGTTTTCATGAAAAGTCTATCATTAGGATAGATACTTTTTATCATAATTTTAATAATAATAATAGTAAGAAAGTTTATTAAACTCAAGCATTCAATGTTCGGCAACTTTTTCTTTAAAAAATAAATTTTTCATTTTTCCAACTGAGCTAAGCTCTTGATGAACGCCGGCCTTAATCTGATGGGTTATATCAGAACTGTCCTATGGAGAGACTCAAGTTCAATTGTCATGCCATGAGAGTAGATTCATTTGAGAAAACCTACAAACTATAGATGCAAGATTTACAAACCAATAACTATGCACTTGAATACCCACTCAATGACACGAACTCTATAATTTGAAAGCTGAACTTACACATTTGTTACTGCTTCGATCTCATGCTTGCTAGACAACAGCCACTATGCCAAAAGCAAGCACGACAATAGCCAATATGCCAAAAGTCAGTGGAACTCGTGGGTATGTTTTACCCTATTCATGCTGGATTTTCATTGTATTGGGCCACAGCTATGTTGCTTTACATGCGTTTCATATAAAATGCAAAGAGGTGAGAAAATCCTGATTCATCAAAAGATCAGCGGGACTTACAACTGATACTCATGCAAAGACTCCATATCCCGTTCAACATCTCCACATGCACAAAGAACTGTTGCATGGATGTAATCATCCACTTTGATTCCTTCTGCTTCCATCCGGTACAAGAGCTTCAAAGCCTCTCGGCAGAGCCCATTCCTCACATAACCCATGATCATAGCCTTCCAAGAAACTAGATTGTGTTCAGGCATACTATCAAAAACTTGAAATGCCTCAGACACAAACCCACACTTTGCATACATATGAATTAAAGCACTGCCCACATACACATTTGATAATGCAGGAATCTTGTTTGCAAAGGAGTGAATCAACCTGCCTGCGGAAAGATCTTCAAGATTTGCACATGCTTTTAGAGCTGATGAATAAGTGAAAGAGTTAGGCTTTACACCTTCATCCATCATTTCCTTCAAGAACTCAAGAGCTTCAGACTCATGTCCAAGATTTGCACAGCCAGAAATCATGGCAGTCCATGAAACAACATCTCTAAGTGCCATTTGTTGAAGCACCTTAGAGGCAATATGGTACTCGCCACATTTGCAGTACAGCCATACCAATGTACTTCCTATATAGATATTTGATTGGACAGAATTCTTGATTATTTGTGCATGAAGTTCCCTCCCCTTTGATAAAGCTCCTATGGAGCCACAAGCCCTTAGGATGCTCACAATGGTCAAGTTGTTCACAATTATATGTCTTCTCTTCATTGTTCGAAAGAGGCTAATAGCTTCCTCACCCAGCTCTTTCCTAGAATATCCAGCTATGATCGAAGTCCATGTAACCGTGTTTCTTTTACTCATTGCATCAAATACTCTTCTAGAGTCCAGAATCTCCCCACATTTTGCATACATGTCCACTAAAGAAGTCCCAGTAAAGACATCATTCTTAATCACGTTCTTAATTATGGCTCCATGTATTTGTTTCCCAAGTTTTAATGCCTTCTTCTCTCCACAAGCCTTCAAGACGCTACATGCCGTAAACTCGTTAGGCGAAAACCCATCATCTAACATCCGTGCAAACATTGAGAACACCTCATCGCTATACCCCTGTTGCGAGCAAGCAGCTATCATAGTTGTCCAGCAAACCACATCACGTTCTGGCATCCTATTAAATGAGCAAAAGGCACTTGATAATTCACCACATTGCGCATAGAAATAAACAATAGCACTATCTACAAACAAGTTCTTCAGATTCCTCTTTACTATACAAGCATGAATCTGCCTGCCAAGAGCAAAATCTAACCTCCTACTGCACAGGTTTAAAACACACACAAACATCTTCTCATTAGGTCGAACAGAATCCTCTAAGGAACGACCCAAAAGCCTCAAAGCTTCATCATAAAACCCAAATTTCATATAAGCATTTACAATTGCAGTCCAGGTAACAACATTTCTTTCCGGCATTTCATCAAACACCTTTCGACCATCAATAAAATTCCCCAATCTCGTATAAGCGCTGATCAAGTTATTCCCAACATAAATCGTTGGGGTCATAAACAACTTAACTGCGATTGCATGTGTTCTTTTAACCTCCTTCAGGCTATAACAGGACTGAAGCCAGACTGCAAGCGAATCAGAGTACGCACACTGGCTCACCGAAGGAGTATCTGTGAAATCGGCATCTGTTTTTTCTTGGAAGCTGTGTGTATTTGTTAGTTTCTTGAATCTGCATTCGAAAGTTTTGTTTTTGGAAGAAAAGCTAGAAATTTTAGTATGGTTTTTACAGTAGCTGTGGATTCTTTTCACATTTGAATTGCTCTGGAAGTTTGAAGATTGCAATGGTTGATTAGAGAATAAAGAAAATTGTGGAAGAAGATTGATCTGGGGCGAGAAAAGCGTTAAAGTTTGCATCAGCTTAATTGTTCGAAGATTCCAACCAGAAAACAGAGAGACGAAAACAAGTTCACAAATTGAGCTCTGTACTAGTTGCCATTTCCTACTACTTTCATTTCATAGTCGCAGAGAAGCTCTGTGGAAAGTTGAGGCGAAGACAAATTTACCTAAGACGACGCCGTTTGGAGATTGAATAAGTTTTGCCCATTATTCCAACGGAGAGCTAGATTTTCGCTTATGAGCGGATTACAATTTTAATATAATAATTTATTAATAAATTTAATTAGAATTAATGTAATAAAAATTTTATTAAATATTTAGCTAAAAATTTATTAAGATAATTATAATAATTTCTATTAGAAATAAAATTTTTAAAATAAATTTTTTTGATTAAATATATAAATAAATAACAAAAATATATATAATATTAAACTTAATTTGATTAATTTTAATTAATTATTAAATATATTTATATTCATAGAATCATAGTTATGAAATATTTATTAGTTAATTATAATATTATAATCATATTTTATTAGATTAACCAATATGACCACTATTAATATTAACCATGAAAATCAGAGTTTAATTGCTTGACATTACGTGTTAAGAAATAAATTACTAATATATAAATATATATATATATATATTAGCCGTAAATAGAAGATATAAGTGTATGACTATATGATTGTATCCATGCATATAGATATGCATGTTTTCATACATATGATGTAATCAAATATATATATATTCTCATTAGAAAAATCAAATGTATATGTATTTGTACATGTGTATATGATGTGTGTGTGAGTGTGTCTAGTGAATATATAAATGTATGTATTTATGTATGTGTGTTTGTGTATATATATATATATATATATATATATATGTATAACTAAAAAACAAGGACGGACTAGCATAGTAATCGCAGCGTTGCCCTGCGTCACCACCCTGAGAGGCATTTGCTTAACTGATAACTGCCTACTCAAACAAATTTAAGTGCGGAAACAAAATAATTAATTAGGATTTATATTTCTTATACAATTTAAAGTACCAAATAATATTACAGAGATTATTAATTTAAAAGAAATATAAAAAATTAAAAAAATAAACAGAAAATAAAATAAAATTGACATTCTAGTTGCAGCCTTCTTTGTGAATCGGTCTCCAAATATTAATTCTTTTGATATGAAATTGTTAAATAAGAAATGAGTTACACTACCCAGTAAAAATATCACGCTACTCACTGATACAGAAATAAAGGTTGGTAGAAAAATTAAAAAATAACTAATGGAGTATTTAATTAAGCAAATTCATTTATCGATAATAAAATCATTTACCGTTCACTTACCGTATCGAGATTTATAAAAATAATCTATAAAGACAATAACATAACACTTATCATGATCTCATATGCAATCGATAATATGCATATTTTATAATCTCATATTCAATTAATCAAAACAACAACTATCTATTTTCATCAGCCCACTAGTATCCATGGGGGTCCATAGGGATGTTCTCACTACACGTGAACCATTTCCTTTAATATTCTCAATTAACGAGTCGTCCCCATACTCCGTCCGGTATGAACGCCAAATTACTAAACCTCAATACTCCGTCCTGTATGAAGGTGAAACGGGTTGTCTCTATACCCCGTCCGGTATGAGCACCAAATTACCAAGCCTCGATACTTTGTCCGGTATGAGATAATGTTCACGGTAGGGTTCCCTATGTACCCAGTCTGTCCACCATCTCTCAAGATATCTAGTAAGGCTGTCATTTCATCCATTCACTTAATCACACAATTTTTTGTTTACCTTTAACCTCCAGTTCCCCAATTCAACCGTAACCATACAAAACAAATAATACATGCATTCAAAACTATACAACTGATCAATCAAATACTATCATGCATTTAGACTGTAAAATAAATCAACAGAATCAACAATGAATAGTTTATGTTTCTGATTCCATTAGTAACCCGTAATTAATTATGAATATTTCCTAGATTGCATAAAATACCGTATTATTATTAATTGGATTTTAATTCTGTAATAGAGAATAGGGTGAGAGATTCATACTCAATTTGATGTTCCAAAAGCTAAGTTGTTGACTGCGCCTACTGCCAGTCCCCGGGTTCCTTGAATTTTTCTTTGGGGATTAAAATACGTTACAAGTACCTACAAATATCCCAAAATGCCCAAAAATAGTGTCAGGACCCCTTTTTGGCCGATTTCGAAATTCTAGCACGGCGACTCCGTAGTGCTTCAGCGAGGGCGTTGCCGCTCGCGGTGGCTGTCCGCCTCGATTGACTGAAGAAAAATGAAAAATCGAAACTCACTGATAGCGGGGCTCTCCGGTGCGGCGAGACTCTCCGGTGCAGTGGCTCCACCGACTCACTTTGCCGTTGGGTGTTTTGCTCCGTTCAACCTGTAGAGAATGAAATGGTAATCAAAATGATAGAAAAATTA